GGATTGGAAGTGTAGGCAATCAAAATTGGTGGTTCATACTAACCCACAAAACAGACACCAAAGAGTGCATATTGAAACTCACAGTCGAAAAAGACATAACTGCTGAGAGTTTATCAATAACAACTTACTTTCTCCAAACAATGCGTCGTGCAATCTAAGTAAATGAATAAGTTCTTTCATTCTCGCATTGGTAATTTAACATGATGGAAGCCAGTTTGCAGACATCACTAGACGGATATATGTTGGGAAACGCACAAGATTTTACGGGACCTGAATGTTATGGAAGGGAGGTCATTGAATTCGATTAAAGGCATCAGGTCATTCCACAAGTCATGGAATGAACAAGAAAATGCAGCTTTTCAGCATAAGCGGAGTATTTTCAGTTATACTTTCTTTTTTCAGCAGTGGTGGTGCTAAGGTAGCACAAAACTCCAAATTTCCTTCACGAGCAGTCGAAATCTTCGATCCGTCCTCGCAATGCCTTGGAACGCTAGACAAGCGTCTGTTTTACCCTAAATTCTTATGCTTATAGCTATGGAGACCAAAAGAACCTAGGTGACGATTTGGTGAACCTGTCAGTTCCCATGTTATTATGTAATCCAGCATAATATGCTGCAATACCTGCAGTGCCTGAGCCGCGCGCTGATTGAAAAGGGGAGTGACTTCTCACATTCAGCCAGATTCTTGCAATTTCTGTGTTTACACATCAAAGACCGTTGTGTTTTTGCTCTAATCGGGACATTATTCGATTAAAGCAGGGCAGGAACTTCTGAGGGTGAAATTCTGTAGTTCCTGCTGCATGGTTACCCAAACGTGACGTAAAAATACTTGTGGTAGGGCCGGACGCCACTTTAAAGTGGCCTCTGATATGCAGAGGAGCGAGTGTAAGAGTCGGTTCCACGATAAAAACACAATCCTTACACCCTCAGCATACAAGAGGCACAGCAACGCAGGAAGTGTCTGGCTTTTTACCTTGTGCTGCTCGAATATTCTCACTCTGGTAGAAGATAAAACGCTTCTAAATAAGATAACTAGGAAACCGTTGTCGAAAGTCAAAGCCGATAACTGTAGCAGTGATAACGACACAGCATCCATTGACACACAGATTGCTGTGCAAAACTTTCAGAACGGCGAGCTGTAAGTCGGCCGCGTAGACTACTTACCAGGTTTGTTTACAGAGACTTGGATAAAACTACACCGAGCAGGGTGAAGTGAGTGTTTTCTGCATCTCCCACTCCCAGAGCTGGCAGAACCACCCTGAAAACTGCTGAAAGCAAGACTAGGTCTACTTCGGATGAAAGAAACTGGGGTGAAGCGCTCTCAGTTCCAACGACAAAACCACTCAGGCTGCTGGCCATACCCAGTTTGACGACCCAATCGTTGACGGAAATCACACTGAACGGGGTGCAAGTCCGCTTTGGAGCTCTCAGTGTCGGGGTCACTGAACTGGGCTCCAGTAAACCTTGCATACCCGACTCTGAAAAATGGCAAGTGACTAAGCCTCAACGCTATGCTAAGAAGCCAATAATGGTAACCAAGCTAGCTATCATCGCTCCATACAGCAAAGACAAAGTGGAGCCCCTTGACATGTCCGTAATTTTCCAAAGAGTGGAAGAAAGAAGGAACCCAGAACCACGGGAACGCTTTGAACATGACCTTGGCAAAATACAAGGTTTGATAAACCAGCCTTTACCAGAAAAACGCCAGGAGTCACCTTACTCAAGATATATATAGAGCAGGAAAACGGGAAGCAGTTATCACTGGAAATGTCTTTCGGCTACTTGAGCATGTATTCAAGTCAGCAGATGAAAGGAATGAGGTTCTGAGGGATGCCCGCAGGCTTCAAGGATCTGTAGTGTTCGTGGGAAAGGATCTGACTCCTGCTGATCGAATCAAGAATGGAGGAGCAGAGGCAGAACCAAAATCCAGATTAGCAGCTGGAGAGCAAGATCTGAGAGTGGTAGGATTCGTCGCTTTTAGAAATGAAAGGTTGGCACACAAAGGTGGTGGTGTCATCCTCACGTTAAGAATATCTTAACTGTAGAAGCCATAGAAACTGTTTCACATGAAAGTGGGACATGTGAAATGCTGCGTTGCCGACTAAAATGCAAGGGGCAAGATGTTAACACAATCGTCATGTGTCGAAGCCCTGAATGTGAAGCATCAAACTTCCTCCTGAATCAGGCGATACTCTAGATGGAAAAATGCCGATGTCTAGTTGTATGAGATTTCGACGCATCATCAGTTGACCGCGATAGACTAACAACAATAACACCAAGTAATTGGTTTGACCACCTGTTATTGGAAACATAAATTTCCTTAGCCCTCACATAGCACATTAAGACACCAACCAGATATGGTCATCAGCATGCTCTATCAGTTCTGGACTTGGTGTTCTCACACACAGATGACGTGTGCTTCATCCCTCACCTAGCATCCCTCGACAGAAGTGATCACACCATGATCATCTTCAGATTCACAACAGACGTCGTGTACCAGGCCGTTGCCCCAGCTAGACCCAACATATGGAAAGCGAATACGGAAACTATTAACCTGACAGCCTCTTCAGCGGACTGGATAGTCAATCCAGAAGCGATTGTATGCACGAATGACACAACCGTTCATTCAGTGGACTGTCCAGAGAGGACGGAAGCACTGTTCTCCGCGGATAAACCAGGAAATCCGCATCTTGCTATGACGTAAGAAAAAGTGTTGGAGTCTCGCCACCTACCTCAGTACACCCGAAGTGGTGAGGCATGACGAAGAAACTCGCGATAAATGCACAGCTGCTATCCGCCGGTCTCGAATGTGCTTTGAAACACGTCTCGCCAAGGCTGTACCGCAACATCCGAAGAGGTTATTTTTCTCATACGAATTAAAGAAAAGAGATGGGACCGAGACTGACTGTTTGATTGAGCGCGACAGGGAAAAGCAGAAGCCATGACTGGATGTTTTGCTGGGGTCTTCACACAGGAATCCTCTGAGGACACTTGCTCAACGGCAGAAGCATTGACGTCCAACAGACCAAACTCTGTGGATTTCGATCGCAATGGTCTATTTGGGAAATAAGGTAATCTGGACGTGGAAAAATCAACGGGACCGGGTGAGCTGCATCTCAGGCTGCTCAGAGAGCTTGCAGTCTATGTAGCTGACCACTGACTACTATATTCAGACTGTCTCCCAATGAAGGCACACTCCCCCATGACTGGAAGGATGCGATGGTAACACGTATCCACAAGGCACGTTCTAGATAGCTTCCATCAAATAACAGACCAACAAATTTGACTAGCACTGTAGTGAAAATTCTAGAAAGAGTAACCAAGAAAGCCATCACAGTTCACCTAAGAGCAACACTCTATTGCCTCATTCACAGCACGGTTTTCGTGGAAATTCCTCTTGCCCGACGAACCTTCTTTCAGCCAGACAAGGTTAGGTGGAGTCCAAAGATGATGGCACATACCGGTAGATATCATTTTCACCGGCTTTAGTAAGGCATCCGGCAAAGTGCCTCATTCCGGCTACTCGGGAAACTGGAACATTTTGGAATTACTGGCAGTCTGCTAGCATGGATAAGAGACTTTCTTGTTGGTGGGAGACAGAGGTTTAGTATGAATTCTCAACTCTCCACTTGAAGTCGGCAGAGAGTGGAGTGCCGCAAGGCACAGTCCTCAGCCCCCCACCGTTTCTCCTATACGTAAATGAGCTGCCAAATATCACGAAACCCCCTGTGGTTCTCTGCACCGATGAGTCGAAAATCTGGTGGGAAATTATGAGCGATGAGGATACACGTGCGCTTCAGGCAGACCTGAACAGTTTGTTTACCTGGTCACAGAATTTGCTGATACCTATCAATGCATGTAAATGTGTGAGCATGCGCTTGTGGCACACACATAGCAACACCTGCAATATTGATGGGACTCCTTTGCCGTCAGCACTCACTCACAATGACGTAGGAGTCACGGTTAGTCATGATTTGAAAACCACGTCCCACTGTCGTTTGGTAGCAGCTCGGAGTTTTAGGACTATCTGGGCACTACGTAGAACGTTTGCGAAAATAAATGGTGGCGTGTTCACCATCTTATACACATCCTTAGTTGGGTCTAAATTAGAAAACTGCACACACGTGGCTAATCCTTGTCTAAAAGATGACACAGGCCTCCAAGAAAGAGTTCAAAGGGCAGCCACTCATATGATCCCTGCGATGGCTGGCCTCACCTAAGATGACCGACTTAAGGAGCCGAACCTCTCCACTTTGTCCTGCCACAGACAGAGGGGAGACCTAATCATGGTATACAGGGTTTTAAGAAGTGACTTCAGACCCAATCTACCTTCTCTTCTCCTTCTCACCAGGTCGGAACCCCTCAGAGGATATAGTAGGAGACTGCAAAAACAAAGAGCGAACAGTCTCCACAGAGTACTGGTCCTTGCATCAAGTGATAAACGTCTGGAACCCACTACCAGAAGGAGTAGTGTCTGCATCATTAACTGATTAGTTCAAAAGAAGATTTGACAAGCAAAGAAACCTACTGGAAAGGGATTAATACAGGCTCCCAGCCCCCTATCCTCAAACAACAAATCTGAATGTGAAATGTGACGTCTGAAACAACAAAATATGTATATATATATATATGTTTATATTCCATCATAACATTTCGAGTTGTGTTGTCATAAAAATTTAATTAATGTTAAGCATACTAAAAGAGAGAAAATTTTACATCGTTAATAGAATTATCTAAATGAGATTGTTAACTGCTACAAAGTTGATATGTGAGTTCCGTCCTGATAATTTTTCCTTCACATAACATACGTGTCAGGTAAGGTACAGTCGAATGCTAATACTTATCTGTATGAGCATACAGATTTGTGTAGTTTCTTCTCGTTCATCCTGAGGAGATACAAAGAGAGAGCTGTTAATGAAGTGGATTCTCAGAGTCGGTTAAAATTGCTGTAGCTAGTTTTTATCGTGAATACACCATTCTATGGCAATAGTGACACTGTAGGGATTAGGTGCGTCTTCAGGTTTGTTTTACCACCTTCTTTCTACACACAAGGTTGTATCAGTTGGAAACATGTCTCAAGGTGGGTTTTGGAATGTTACTAAAGTAAATTACAGTGACGAAACGAAAAAACTTCTAAATGGTTAGTTCGATATTTTAAATCCTGCATTTCTTCAGAACTAGTAAGGGAAGCGAAGATTTCGAATTCCTATCGCCACTCAATAAATGCGGTAATCAGAAGTAAGAACATGTTCATAAATATTTTTATTACACAAATTTATGCATATCTGCATAAATTCATATAGTAAACTTTTTACTTTCTCTCACAGATGGTGAAAGTTTGGGTTGTTATGACTTAAAAGTACCCACAAGCTGTCAGAAAACGAAAAAGACAAACAAGTCAAACGGGCCCCACAGGTAATGCAGTGAATTCTCTTCACATTGATAATTTGATTCACCTTCTAATTAGAAGTTGAACTAACGAATTTTTCATTATTTCAGACCACTCAGACCACATAAACGAACGAAATCCTTGATAGAGCTTAGTGGAGCCTATGACCCTGTCCCGTATCACCCTCCTCCTTGTAAGTCACAAACTTGTTCATTATTACTTCATGGCTGCTGTTAAAAGCATTTCCAAGTTTTGGTGTGAAAAAACCTAGTTTGGTACTTGAAGTGTGCTGCGATTTGAATCAAGTATTTCCTATTTGTTCCAGTAGTAACTAGCTCCTCCCAATTAACAATGCAGTAAAGATAAATTATGTCAGATATGCAAGTTGTTCTATCACCAACTTGATAAAGTTTTGTAAGTCTTGTTCGGCTCAATTTATAAGAATTCATTCTGTGCAGTCAAAGGCAGTTGGTGTGAGGTCAATATTAAAAGCTACGAGTTAGATCCCCATCAACTATGAGTTTTCACGATTGATAAATCTTCGCGACTAGATAACATCACTATCACTCTAAAATTAGCTCATCACTTTGTCCACACAGCTCGGAGTGGTTGTTGATTTCTGTGTTCATTGGAAAAAATAATGGGTTATTAGCCTTATGTTCACTTGAAGGGGACAAAGTATGTAAAATTGATGCCGTTTAATATTGGGACTTCTCTGGCTACGTGAGATTATGATGAATTTCTGCATAAACTCTCGGTAACCGGTGACAACTGACATGTATATCCAGTTATCGTTGCCTTTTACTTACTTTAATCAGCCTTCTGAATGTTAACTTTCCTCACTGAGACATGTTGAAGATCAGTTTCCCCTCCAAAGGTTACGTGACTGGCCTTGAGAACGTAGATTCTTTCTTATGGCTGCGATACTGATAATTAATTAGGAGGTTCTTTTCGGATAAATATCTCAAGGTAGATCGTGTGCTTAGCATTCTGCAGGCTTGTATGGGCTAACTGATTTCTTCGCACTCGTTTCTAGATCCTGTGGGATAGTTACAGATCTTTGATGGGTTCAGATTTAATAGATACACTAACATGCCTACTACAACTCTAGTATACCTGACGGATGGCCCAATACTGAATAAGTTTTTTGGAAGGTGTGTGATTTTTGCTGGGGCTATGGTGCGTTTAGGTTCCTTAAGTGTCCTGTTGCCAGATAGCTGTTTGAGTTGATCACACAAGAAAAATAAGGAGAATGAAAGGAAAATCAAAACAAAAGGCAGTAAGTGAGAAAAACGAAGGTAGGAAAAGAAAACTGAAGCAAAACTCCCAGGCAACTTTAGAGTAGGGGGGAAAGGGAATGGTGATAGAGACCTTAAAGAACAGGGTGACATCTCAGAGAGTCAGAGGGAGTGAAGTGAGTTGAGAAAATAACAGTGAGGTTGGTAGAAATAAAAATAGTAATGATATTAACAGTGATCTGGCAACTGGAGAGGTAAGAAGTGTAAGGGGAAGGTGTAAGATTGAGTCCACTTTATAACAGTGGTGACTACAGGAAAGTATTATTATGGAGGCAAGAATGTTTAATTGACAATATGTCAGTGTAGTCCATATCTTGAATGGGTGAGCCAAAAACTGTGTGCCGCCGTTTAGCTGTTCAGGCCCTTTTTGAATCTGTCGATGTATGAGTCAGCGCCCACCTCAGCAGATAGTACGTTGGACTATGGACTTGAAGAGATAAAAAGTGCCGACGAACACAGCTTTAAGCCCTTTGATGAGCGATTCTCTTTGGGTTTTCACGTGGACCACTGTGTTGAGTTTTCGACAATATTCCACCTTTCAGGTGAGCTGGATTACTAAGTATCTTGTGAACCGTCATTAAGTCACTACGTAACCTACGGTAAACAAAAAAGTAAAGGTCTCAGTTTTTCAGCCTATTATAGTGGGATTTTTGCAGAGTCCCTACAACACTCTTTGTTGCTCACTTCTGGGCTTTTGTCAAAAGGCTGACATCTCTTTCTAGCTGTGTTGGTACAAATACTTTTTAAGCCTCTAACTGAAGTCACGTGTAGGTCTTGTAGACATTCAGGGAAAGTGGTAGGCTGGTGGTATCTAGTTGTCTACTAAGTAAGACGTCTCCTGGATAATTTGAAAGAGTGTCTAGTTTGCTAGTTGGTATTAATCCCAGTTCTTTTTCTGGGATCTTGTGGGGAGGATACGTACCACAAAGAGAATAGGACACTTTCTACAACTCACTAGTGCAAAGAAACATAGTCCAACATTCATCCAGATTAAGTACCGGTCCGTTGTATTTCACCCACTCTTCGAGGATTCTTACGTTACCTTGCAGTACACTCTGTTCTATTTCTGACGTCACAGCTTTCCATAACTTAATGTCGTCAACGTAATGTAAAATCGACAAAAGATCATTTGCAGAAGTATTATCAGAAACGGCCCCAAAATTACTCTTTGTGGTCTCCAAGCTGGCCAAACCTGCTGACTTTTGTTCAGGACCTTCTTATATTTAAATATTCCTCCATGCAGGACACTAGCTGATCCCTAACACCCAAGCTTGCCATTTACACATAAGATTAGCTTGTGGGACAGTGTTGATGGCGCTGGAAAAATCACATAACCAGAGACGTTAAGGTCCCAGTTACCACACGCTAACATATGCTTCGAGGCGTATCGCAAACATTTTCGAAAGCCACACCGAGTATCACTAAGTGCTCCGTTTCTGTCGAGGTATTTCCTGATGTGGTCACCTACCAGTCTTTTCGTCATTTTTAACAATACTAGTAGAAGTACTTTAGGTCGGTAACAACTCGGGTTTTGCTTGTCATGTTTCCACTTACATGGGAGTTTGTGTTTAGTTAAGGACTGTTAAAAAATGTACGGCTTGGGTCCCACATAGGACACCCGCAAGCTGTTTCAACACAAATCGATGAAGGTGGTCCCATCCTATAGATTTTCCTTTACGGAGCTTTGACATTTTTCCGAGGACCATAATGAGGGTTATCTGTTTTCTGTATAAATCTTCTATAGTAAGTAAAGTTGAAGACCATTGAAATCGTCGGTACCTGCATTTGGGTGGTGAAATGTTGAGCTGTATATCAAAGCTGGTGCTAAATGTTTCGGAAATGTTACGTCTATTCGGACCTTTTATAATACATGCTGCCTGGCTAATAGAATTTACCTTTGTAGTGAATCGATATATGTTCCCGGTGTTTTTCTAAAGCTCCTGGACAATCTTTGTCCGGAATGACTTCCTCTCACCCCGCCTTGGAAACTTATATGCACTATGGTCTGGCTGGTCCTAGTAGCCTCCATTTGAGTCGTGCTTTTGTCTTGCCTTCGAATGGGCACTCGTTTTAGCCATGAGGTCTGTTTTTTGGACGCAATTAACTCTGAGAGGATATCTCTGGAGATCTCTCTGCCAATAATGTCTCTTTCTAGTCCCCAACGATGGTCAATCAATAAAGGATTCTATTTTTGAGGCTATGGGGCTAATGAAAAATACCGCTGCATTACAATATAGTTTGCCGTACTGTAGTAAAGAAAAGAGCGAGATCCTTCCCATGATAGCTATTATATATATATATATATATATATATATATATATATATATATATATATATATATATATATATTTCAATTATATGCACGTATAGTGACTTATTGCCTTGCTGTTTGTTGAGGATTACGCTTGACTCACCTCAGGTTCTCCTATTCAACTTCCTGAAAGACTTATGCCCAGATTCACCTTGATCCATCCACACATTATCTTCTTTTTAATTGTAATGACCAACTTATCATTGTTTTATCCTTTTTCGTACCCTCTTTGAGAATACTTAATACTTTGACTACTTTTTTTCCTCATTTCTCTTTCTTTCATTTATATACCTATGGCATGACCACCTGGACTGACATACAGGAATGCCAAGCCCTGTTTCGATGCTGACTGACTGCCTACGGAGTAACTTATTTCTGTCTTCTTCTAAATTGTAACTAAATTCCACTGGTCAGGTTTGTTATTTGACCATCAGACTAGCTATCACCATGAATTTCGTCTGGTATTTCTATGTTTAAAACCCACTGGTACGCAACTAGATTCTATGCTTTTCATAACTCGTAAGTAATCCCAGCCGTTATTATTTACCTAGTCGTCTGAATGACTCGTAAACTGCTTTACTCCAAAATATGTGTCATTACATTTGTAAATCTCTCTTGCTAGTTCATATTATGATCATACCTTTAATTTTTTAACCATAAAGTCTATTATAATCAACACTTTTCGAAATATTTTCTTCGATTCCAGTTTGACAGAAAAGCATTAGATTCTTCAAAGCTGTAAGGCGAAGGTGGGGTGATGATTGGAGAAAACCAGATTCGCTACATGACCCGAAACAACAGTCTCTATCATCAAGAGGTTATTGAAAGCGCTAGATCAGGACATTTTTGGGTTTAGCTTAGTATGAAAGAAATCATAAGTCCCACAATGTTTCAGCATCCTTCAAGTAATTAATAATGAGAATACCTGAGATACATAACATAGGCTTCGTGAAATGAAATTCCAGGTTTTACTGAGTTTTAGGAATAACGACACAGTTTTTCACCATCGCTTCATAATGAAAATGTACTACTCAATAACTAGTCACTGGAGAGTAATCAATTTCATGTTACCTGATCCTAGATGCTGACCGAATTCCATGGGTTATTTTGCCCAGTGGCCACTCACCTGAGAGATTCAGCATTATAATGCAGTTTGGTTGATTCTAAAAAGTTAGAAGCTACCATAGGAAACCCAACTTCACCTAGACTTTGTACTTGCTAATGAGTGTTAATAAGTGTAAAGGATCAATGAAGAAGGGCTTCTACCGATTATATCTAACCATCTAACTTTAACTGAAGTTGTACTATCTGCTGTAGAGTATTTTTCATTGGGAAAGTTTAGGTTTTTAAAAAGTGCCGGTTTACGTTCATAGTCTTAAAATATGCAGTTTATATTCATCACAAGATGCATTTGTTACATAAACATTAACCCTTAAGACTCTTCACTTCATCACAAAATGGAATATAACAAATTTCAGTAGGCCAGTCTAAACCTAAACCAGTATCATTGCTGCAGATGTTTTCCTCATTTATCTTAGTTCGACAAGTCAAGCTAATTTTCGAGTGTTATATGGAGTGGCGTAAAAATGTGATAAATGAAAACAGCCTACTAGTGATGTACGTTGGCTAGCCGTGAGACCTAGGAGGCACTCTCCTTCCAACTTGGGGTTCGTCAACTGTAAGTACCTGCGTCCCAGTAAGTAGTTTTCCTTCATACAAGACCTGGTCCCAGGACCAGTCACCTTAAACGCCAGGACGTATACCGGAAATTATTCTTAATAACAGCCGTATGCATGTAGCCTTTCAAGAAGTCATTTTAATCTACTAGAATGAATCTGAATGACCAGACAATGCTGATAGAATGAAGTTATTGATAATGAGACAATAGGCACGAATTAGCAACAATGGATCTATTTTTCTCTAGGATTTCAAAATAATGCAATATAGTATTTGATAACAATTAAAAAACGTTTATGAATATCCAGTGTCACGAGCATCATCAAAGAATTTTATAACTGATTCTGCTGAATAATTAGAAAATTGTACATTATGATGGTAGCGTGTTAAGAAAAAGATTGAGTTCAAGTAAACTTTAGTGATGACCAATCACGCTCAAGAATGCACTGACCAATCAGAATCAATTTATGCAGATCATCAATAATAGTTTTGTAAGTTTGGGACTGCATTTAACTTTCAGTAACTGTTATGTTTCCGTTGAGCCTACAGTTGGAAGATTTTGAGCAAATTAACTGTATGTGTATTCGTTTACATGAATAATGCCATAAAACGATAGATGCTGAAAGCGAAGGGAAAAAGAAACAACCTATGCTTATGACGCCTCAGTATAAGCCTGTTGAATTCATGACTGAATTCACTCAGTTTGAATTGATAATTCTATTATCTCAGGTTAATAACTTCATGTGAAGGAATGAAAAACGTGAAAGAAGAGCCACCTTTACAATCGAGAATCTCATACTGTATCAAAAACATTGTCTGGAATCCAGTGATTATTTAAAAAGGCTGTCCGGTACTCAGGTCATATTGATTTAGATGGCAACAGGATCTAGTAGATAGTTGTTATCTCCAGATACCCTTATTAACAAACAATACATTTCAGTGAGTGATACATCTACTACAGGTGCACACTAGTCACTGGATAATACCTTAATTGAAATATTAATGTCATCCCAAACTACTAACAAGCATTACTTTCTAATTTACTCTTCACATCTCCTTTTTTACGTCAATACAAATACTTAGAGGTCACATCAGAGAAGAATAGGGAGCCGTTTATGCTAGGTGCTGAATCAATTACATGTCGACCGCGAAATAAATATGGGGTCTTAAGTGGCTGAGTGACTAATAATAATGATTATAATACGCAGACGGTAATAATGCTACAAGACACTTGGACTAGACACGAATACAGACTGTTCTCCCTCAGAACTTTGTGCTTAACCGAGCTGTGAAAATTAAAACACAGACTGGCCTGTGACTGCAGGGAAGACACTTTATTCATAAGAAGTACACCATTTGTATATAGTTTTTATGAACATTTTGATTGTTCAACTGTAGGATAAATTGTCTAATAAGGCTCTTCCTGACCACTCAGTGACCTGAAACAAAAGTTAAAATTTAAAACTTCTGCTTTTGTGGCTGAGTAAGGGGCTAAGTAAAGGATAAACCAGATCTATACGAAGCTCAGTACTCTCGCATCTGATTAACACTGGCCACTGAGTTAACATTCATGATCCCTTTAAATGACAACTTAAAATGTTGGTTTCCATTTAGGTTGCATCTCATCAGGGTCACTTGATGATTGGGAAAATAGAGATATTTTGATTAACAGAAGATTGTTACTGAACTGCGAAAATTTCACTTGACTAAACAGATTGAGTATGGTCGTTGGTTTTTCCTTTAGGTTATTTACATAGAAATAAATAAGTGACACTCATCCATGAAGTTTGAGTGTCAGAGAGCAAAGGACGTGAGGAGGCTTGAGGTATTTCAGTACCACCCGCTTCGAAACATGTCATGGTGACACCATCTCAGTAGCATAGAAGTCAGGTGTAGAGTTTTTGGCAAAGTGATGTCATTTGGCGAGGTAGTAAACTTTCATCGAATCAGATGACTCGGACGTGTTGCCCATACCTAGTCACCATAAAACCCGTCACAAAATGTTGGCTGAAATAGGTCTAGCCTATGAAATGTTCAGAGGTGTTTGGAATTAAAAGTGGTATCAACCCATGAAGTTTTGACTGATGGTCTGAGACATATGAGGAATGGAGACCGCCCATTTGAGGTTCAAGTAACAACCAAAACTAGTGATTGGAAACTCTAGGCGATACGGCTTAGAATCAATGTCAGCTGCACAGCTGCTTTATCTTTTTCTTATTCGTCATCCCTAATTTCGTTGTCTTACCCACACTTCTCTTCGAATAACGTTTTACTACTTTCAATCTCTACCTTATTTCCTTCTTTATCTTTCATCTTGATGCCTTCTCAATCGATGTGGTAGTGCAAGTTATGAAATGTTGGACCGCTGCACAGTAATATCAGTCCCCATTATGATACTGACTGAACAACTGACCGAAAATTGTGTTTTCTTTCAACTTCTATTGTTTCACTAGTAATCAAGGCTATTTGAATTGAGCTAATCCGCATTGTATTACTCTACAAAAGTAGTTTATGAAGGCTGCCACATGCTACAGTTACATGTTGAAATGCTTACTGGTCTATAAATTTCTCACTTAAATTGAAGTTCATCAAAATTTATTGACAATGTTAATAAGCAACGTGTCGAAGTGATAAATGGACAAACTTACTTTTGAGTCTATGCTACTAATGAGTAGTTCATATACCATCTTAAAATTTCATATAGAGGCTAATTTGGTAAACCTCATGTGTGAAATGTTCTCATATTCGTAGAACTGAAACGCTGTTGAGGAATACAGAGAATATCAGCATTATTGATTTAGTAGGATGGTAGGTCAGTTGAATATATTCAACCAAATTTGTCGGAGATTAGAACTAACCTCCAGTTGATGTGTAAAAATTCATCTGAAAGTGATCTCAGAAAAGTCATCCCTTTTGTCAGCAAATGAATACAGTATGTTAATTATTTAAACTTTGTTAAATAAGCATTAAAAGAACCATGTGGGGTGAAAAATTGAATAAATGAGCTAAAGGGTACAAATCGTTGAAATTACACTTTTGACTCTATCTAGACAATAGAAACAAATCAAGTATTCACATCGCACATCTTATATACTGAGATATTTACCATTTTTGTGGCATGCCTTATTCTTATCTATAACGTCTATGCTTTGTCTCTTGTAATACGCAAAGCTTTAATGTCTAAGTGTTATCAAAATAGGTCAGTGAGTGTAGTAACTGTTACCTGTACTATCATAGAAGAGCAATGACTTCCTTGTGAGTTTTCACTATCAACAATTTCAGAGCTTACCGTAGATTTCAGTCGATGAGACTGTAAAATTACACTGACTGAAGTGATCAGGGTAAATGTTATGCATACTGGGCCATCATCTCATACGACATATAATTGTAACTCAAGCAGAATAAAATAATGGGAAGCCGAGTGTCATCACACTAACACAGAGCATCATTATACTACATCTTTGACTGCTGATATGAGACGTGTAGGACGTGTACATCATCCGTATACCGAAAATTCAAGGAATCAGTGACTGAAGATTATCGTCTCGTAGACTTTTAACATTCAATTATTCCATGATTAATTGTTTCCGGTCCACTCACTTTTTCTATTAATTCCCATGTATTCTTATATTTCTATTGATTTTCAGTTTCTGAACTACTCTTAACTGGGATGACGAATACTGATGTATTTTTGTGCAACATTCTACAATACCAATCATATGAATTCTGACTTACTAATGTGTCTATGACTTGTGGTAAATTAAGTAATCTATGTGTTTATAGTGTTGGTGATTAGAATTGTGAAGGAAGCTAACTGACAGTGGAATTCACTCCTCTTGTGAACTAACACTTATCCCATGTGATTCTAATCTGTTACCAGCTTCGGATTACCAAGTGGATTGTCTGGTTATGAGATAAATAAGAGGTGTAAGAGACTATGAGTACAACCACACTTTCAAATAACACTAGGCAATGATAGTTGCATAAACAATAAATTAGTCTGAAAATGAAGGAAAGAGGCTATATTTATTATAATTTACAAATTCTAGACAAATAGGATGAAAATATTATTAAATGGTGCTGCCTTCAGACTAAACCAATGGTGGTACTGTGAAGTAAAGCTATAGCCTCATCTTCCCCAGTGAATTTCATGCTTCGAGAATTAAGTTGACACCCTATTTTGTCGCTCCAAAATTAAACTTAAAAACAGTGGTTATCAGGTTCACAAAAAATTTTAAAAGATACATATAATACTTTCAAAGCTTTCAGTGTGAGTTTTAGGTATAGGTTGAACTTTCCTCTCAATACCCCAGAGAGTTTGATTCCTCTTTTCCCCTTTCCATTCAAAATATCCTTTCTCAAGTGACTTCACTGACACTTCTAGTATTTTTTCTGGCAACAGTAGCTACAAAAGTGTATAGTTATCTTACTTTACCAACATATTTCTGTAATTCTGCATTTTCCTACCTAAAATCCTTCTTTTCCCTCAGCTACCACAAGCCTACAAACAGCATAGCATATGTTGTCACACAGAAAATTAATCAAGTCTATTACGCATGTTTACATGAAGCAAAACACGTAAAAATCATTATCTTTCTCATGACTTTAGCATAACTGTAGGCAATATTTTTTTCCTTCCACTTGACAGTAACACTGAATACGGGTCCTTCTGAAAAACTACGTTTAGCTCACTTAATGACGTATGGAGAAGAACCAACCGTGAATTCTCTGAAAAATGATGAAATTAAAGATGGAAGATTAGAATATCTAAGTCGGCGTATATTGAAGTATCCAAAAGTAGACGATGATATTGGTCGTGACGATCGTAATGAATCGGAAAACTACAAAAACAGATTTGAAGAATGTGAGTGATTGGTTGTTTCTTGTCATTAACGATCCTGAGCAGAACTGTATGCTAATTTAGTTATGTATATATATATTCTCACGGATGGCATCTTGATTATATTCAGTGTAATGAGAATATGTGAACTGCTGAATTCATATGCTGAGTATAAATGGTAATAGAATCTTAGAAATGTATGAAAATCTTTTGGAAAGCATGTTAAGATTCACTCATACTCTGTTAGAAGCTAGTGCTTGGTGGTTCAAATCTCAATTGACTTGCAACATTAGTTGGTCATCACCCAATCCTGACAGTTTGAGTAGATCCACTTATCCTGATTCAAGTGATATCTTTATATCATGACTTTCCATTAAAACTCTTGTAGATTCATGCTGACATCTGTCTACTTATCTCTCTATCACTGAGTACTGAGTTTGTTTTCAATTTTTTTATGGCAAACTTTTTTATATGGAAGTACTTCTCAGCATGGATTTATATCATCTGGGAGTAGTTAGCAATCGGATAGTTATTGAATATAGATCTTAGAAGATCATGTTAGTTACTTGGTTATTTGATTTTAATTTTGAAATTAAATTTTTTAAAGAACCCTATGGAACACTCGAGTAAATCAATTCAAGAAGTTGCATCTCTGTACGATAAAAAATAAAACTGCAAAGATATTTAAATGAAAAAGAATAAATATATTGTTGGACACGGAGTAAACATTTAATAAGATAGCAGGATATCTAGATTTCAATACAAAGGATGAATGAGTCTCTGTAGATGATTGTGGACTATTTCGAGCTTCCATCACCAAGAGATTCTATTCACTGATGCGTGAAACGTTGAACACCTTCAATCTTCATCAAAGATACCTGAACTCTTCCACATGCTTAAAACATAATAATAATCATCTTCATTATGTTTTATTTTCATGCCCACATACAAGTAAGAGATGAAGTTGAAGAAAGACGTCAATTTTTGGTACAAATGGAAAGTCTTGGTAGAGCTAAGGAATATCGAGCTAGCATTGAAACTGAAATATCTAAAGTAAGTTAAGAAAGTATGGTTTTTATTTTGTTTTTCCACTTGATTCTTTTGAAAGAAAATACTATTCAAATCATTCAGTGTGTCGAAACTAACAGAAATGTTCCACAGTAGTGATCAAGTAAATATGACCTTTTATCATGACTCCACAGCTAAGATTTTTATAATATTATAATGATTTCACTGTGTTTCATTGGTTGTATACAGTTAGCGTTGAGAAGTGTTTGTGCTATAGAGAAATAGGATTGTACAACTTTGGAAGATGATGTCGTCATAAGAGAAATTTCGCTCCATTAATCCATCCTTAGTTGAAACAGAAAGTGAAAGACGGTAATTATTCATGACAGAGATAACTATTCACGTATACTGCATTTCATCTCTTATTCCTAAAATCCACCAAAATCTTCCAAGCTAGATTTCTCTGTGTCATCTGTTTCGATACTTTAGATTATTTTCACAAAAGTAAACAAAATCACAAATGGTTATATGTTAGATCACAAACGTTATGAGCTTTCTATACATCTATTCACTCCTAAGATTGCTCTTAAAACTAAACATATATCGTGATTATCTCTTGTCTTATTCGGTACATTTTATCATGTGCGTGCTGTATCTTCAAGGGTCTCAACTTGAACAAATAGATATTTGTACTATGTTCAGTCATCTTTTCACATTAGCTGTAAGAATGCTTCATCCATACGTTTTAATCAAATCAATATAGAATTACTTACAAACAACACAAAACGTTTTACTCATGATATACAGAATAGAGAATTTAACGGAGTGTAAGAACAATTACGAAATTTATAGTGAATCCTAGGAATTATTAAAAGGCAGAACCACAGGTAAACAGAGTAGGTAACATAAGTTTAGACCCGTAAATGAGACTTCAGTTCCCTGCACGTTGCAGATGATCCTAAATGATTGGTACCAAAAAGTATAACACCTCAGCCCTGGGTTCCTAGACGAGCATCTTCAACCATCTGAATGATCGCTATTTAAATAAAAATATCATTTATTCACACTTGTCATCTCCTTTTGTTCATCTAACCGATAGATGTCTGTTAGCACATACGTTAGTTGAACGGATCTCTTGATTCTGCCTGAAGTTTAATTTCAATCTTACTTATTTACACGCAAAAGTGTAACCAATAAGAAAGTTGCGAAGTAGTAAATGAAACTGAATTTCTCATTGTTTTGTCAAATAACAACCATCACCTTAATCATTCCATAAAGCAATCATTGTTTTCCATATTTGTATTCTCTTACTAAAATCTATATCTCGTATCCAAATGCAATCGTCTTGGTGACTACATTACGGTTACTTTATCTTTATTTGACTATTCGACTCACTTTGCAGGAATTTCCTCCCATCAGCTCCTTTTAAACTTGTCATAGAGTAAAACTAATTATATGCAAATTAATAACTAACCCAACTAAACCTGGTACATTTCTGTGTACTGAGCTATGTTTTACATTTGTTGTATGAAGGCCAGTGATTCTACTAGGTTTCCCGGACGGAAGGAGATGGAGCGAATTTTGAACCAGGCACCCATGGTCTGGATACTGAGTTCCTTGGTGACTGAGACACATCTCTGTGGCAATGATACGTCCTCATATTATAACTTACTGCAGTATGTCACTATCACTTCAGAAAATGTCGTTCAAAAATTAAAGTACTACTACTGTTACTAAAATGTGATAGGCAAATAAAATGGTAATGAGATTCTGGGTGTGTAGATTATGTGCAATAATTAAATGGTAGATTCTTTAAGGACATGTTACAAGAGAAAAAATATTTCTTAGCCTGTTGAGCATGATTTTACGTCATTTGTTGAAGACCTATATCGTTTATGAGTAGTCTGTGAGAGGTTAGTAATGTTTCTTCTGGATTACAAACATGAGTTAGGTAGCTGGAAGCGATCGGAATGGAGCTTTGAATTTAGGTTTAATGCTTGTAAACACCTGTCAGCAAGGTATATCTGCAACGTCGAAAGAATTAATGCTCTGTAGAAGACACGAATTCATGCCATATCGTAATGCAATCAGGGATTATTTGGGTCTCCTAGCTGGATGACCATGTTGAAATAATGACTGGTAGAATTTGGTCAACAATTAGGACGAGATAATTTGACACTGGTAGCTTTTAGATAACGGATTTCTGTATAAATATGAGCTGATAGCTGATGTATTTACAAAGCTAGACTCAATAGACTTATATGATTTGTGTGCTGCAAAAAAGTAACTATGATTTTCACAAACAGATAAACGATTAGTTTTCGGTCTTATAACATCCTTTGTCTTTTATTTTGCTTTCATTGTTAAAGCACTGTAAGAAATAGCTAATTTATTGATTGGAAAATATTTAGGCAACAATAAAAAAAAATTGAGATATCTAACCACTGTTTTCCTCAGGGTAGGGATGGGTCTTTTGATAATAAATTAGCTGTTTGGCTAACTGATGTATGGAAATGAAAGCATGTCACCTGTCTGAATTTGTCTGAATTCTACCTCTAAAAAGTAAATAAGCAACGGATTACAGATCAGCTTTCTGATAGAACAAAAATTCTCTCGAATTGCAAGTAGACATTGATTATAAGTTCCCTAAAGAGCTTAATTTAACTAGTAACTTATTAATGGGGATTATTTGTAGTGAAAAGAAACTGTAAATATTTTGCAGCGTTATCTGTACGTATTTGCATGGTCACACATTGAACATGATTATTCACCTCTAAAGACTGGAAAACAAACGGGTGAATTAC